TTGGTGTTCTCTGGGCGGTCAGTCCCTTCACCTACACAGCTAACATCTTTTCTTGCAGACCTTACGGCTTTTTCCAAACTATACAAGGCAGGTTTCTCAAATCATTTGTAGAATTATAGAAAAAAAAAATTCTAGGGGCTCGTGGATGGCTCAGTCGGTTAAGTGTCTGACTATTGATTTCGGCTCAGGTCATGATCTCAGGGTTTGTGGAATTGAGCCCTGCATCAGGCTCTACGCTGACCGTGCAGAGCCTGCTTGAGATTTTCTCTCTGCCCCTCCCCAACTCTTGCATGTGCTCTCTCAAAATACATAAACATAAAAAATTAGAAGTATTAGAGTACTGTAGTTCTATACTTAAAAAAAACCTTTTATTTACTTACTGGTATATTAGATCTGAGTTTTTATCTTGATAGATTTCATTTATGCAAGATGAGGTTCTAGAGATCTGTACAACATTGTGGCTCTAGATAACAATTCTGTATTGTACACTTAAAATCTGTCAAGAGGGTAGCTCTCATGGTAAGTGTCCTTACCACAGTAAAATAGAAACTAAAGTTCTGCATGGATATCCCTACAAAAACAATCCCCCAAAACCAAAAACTCCACCATTTTATACTCTGTTTTGCCTGCTTCAGCTGTTGAGTTTTGATTTTAATTTTCTTAAAAAAATTTTTTTTTCAACGTGTTTATTTTTGGGACAGAGAGAGACAGAGCATGAAGGGGGGAGGGGCAGAGAGAGAGGGAGACACAGAATCAGAAACAGGCTCCAGGCTCCGAGCCATCAGCCCAGAGCCTGACGCGGGGCTCGAACTCACGGACCGCGAGATCGTGACCTGGCTGAAGCCGGACGCTTAACCGACTGCACCACCCAGGCGCCCCTGATTTTAATTTTCTTTCATTCCTCTCACTCTGCTAAAATAGCTTCAACCACCCAAGAAGTTTACCCTGCTAGTTTTGAAACACGGTATATAGATTTGTCTTTAGTTAACCTAGTTCCTTTACTCACTGCTTATATTTTATTTGAAACATTTTATGAAAAAAATTTAAAAAAAGTTTTTAATGTTTATTTATTTTTGAGAGAGTGTGAGCGGTGGAGGAGCAGCG